GCGAATTACCGATGTTAAAACCGCTAATCGGAACAGCAGATTGCCTAATGTTCCGTATATTAGACGAATGAGATTATTAGGCACAATATGGGCGATAACACACATAACAAGCCAAAGGATGTAACTACCAATGTGATAATCAATACAAATAGGTAAAATGTGTGTTGCTATTGTCTTTATTTATTGTTTAGTGGTATACGTGTATTTTTGACGCATATCAAATTATCATGTAATGGGTGGTAACTAATAATTTGATAATCCTGGTACATGATAATTGGCGACGAGGATGGGATATTGGTACAAATATGGCTACTTTTGGTCAGATAGAACAATTTAGCGGAGAAAGATCTGATAGGGAACAATACGTTGAAAGATTAGAGCAGTACCTCCAAGCAAACGATTTATCAAGTAATTAAATCTGGGATGATGGATCGAACCATGATGCAGTCAATGCACGTGCCATAGGCGCACGGGCTCGATGACAGTTAGGGGGGGGGGGGGCAGAACCCGAAATGCCCGAAAAAATTTCGGGTGTACAGACAGCGACGCCGATATTCCTCGAGAAGCGAAAAAGCAGAGCTTCCCTTGTATTGTCCACCCGACCCCACCCAACCCCCAAGAAATTTTTTGAATATTTGACGGCTGCAAACATAGTTTCCCGCTATTTAAGCCCGCGAACAAAGCAACTTCAAAGTGGTCTAATATAGCCTAATTAAGATGGCTGACTCGAATTCCAAACAAAAGATCAATCGTTTACAATCCACGGAGACGGGACCGTTTGGAGAAAATTTGAAAATTTAACAGCCGCATACGCGTTTTCCTGCTATTCCAGTCTGTGAATACAGCAACTTCAATTTGGTCCAATATAGCCTATCTGGCTGACCCGAATTCCAAACAACCAATCAATCGTCACGGAGTATGGGGGGGGGGGCTTCACCCTCGGGGCCTCACCCTCCCCGAGAAAATTTTGAAAATCTAACCACCGCAAATGCGTTTTCTGCTATTCTAGCCCGTGTAAGCAACTCCAAAAGTATCCAATGGTTTTGTAACCGAAATCCCATTCTGAATTCCAACCATCCAATCAGACCGTTGCAGCTGCATTCACAAATAATAATCGATGCTCGAAATATGTCGCACAAAGTAGAGTGGCTCCAGACAAAATGTTTTAATGCATAGTCAACTCAGTACAAATTTGTGGTATTCAATTAAAAGAAAAGTAAAATTAGTGTTTTATTAGGGCTCAATGACAGTTCGGGAAGAACAACTAGAAATGCCCGAAAAAATTTCAGGTTTACAGACAGCGGCGCCGGTTTTCTTCGAGAGGTGAAGAAGCAGAACTGACCTTGTATGGACCCCCGAAGAAAATTTTGGAATATTTGACGGCAGCAAACGCGTTTTACTGCTGTTCCAGCCCGTAAAATTAGTGTTTTATTAGATTTCGGGCACTTTATTTTGCCAAGTAGATGAAATAAAAAAAATTTTTTCACTTTACGCGCTGTTCTTTTCAGTGTCGTAGGACCATACTTATTCAGTTTTAAGAAGTCTACTTTCTCCGGATAAACTGGCAAGTACATCTCACGAAACTATAATACAAAATTTCTTTGCACCGACACCTTCAGAAGCTGCTCAACGTTTTAAGTTTCATAGCTGTATGTTTCCGAATTACGTAAACTAGCCGGGAAATGCAATTTCGGCAAATCTTTAAATGACGTTTTAAGAGAGAATAGATTGTAGGATAGGTGATGAACGTATCCAACGTAGACTTTTATTAGAAACTGATTTAAATTTTGATAAGGCTTATACAATAACTGTTGCACAAGAATTTGCGACGTGATATGCATCCGTTTTACAAGGCTCAAGTACCAGTGATTTGTCTTTAAATAAGGTCGGGTTATACTAGTAAAAATGTCAAACCATATTTTCGCTGTGGTGGAGATTCACATTAATCTGATGATTGTCGTTTTATCAGTGCAGGGTGTCACTACTGTTATAAAAATGGACACATAGCAAATATTTGTTTGTCCAGACATATCAATTGAAGAATAAACAAAGTTCTAGGAAAAGAAAGAATAAAAAGCAGAATTGTGCTAATTTAGTTGTTAATTCTGACACCACAGATGTTTTATTCCATGTACATTGTAAATGTTACGGTAGATACTAAAATTGTAAATTTTCAATTGGACACCGGTGCAGTTTCTAAATGGCTGTCTCAAGCATATCTTCAATGTGCCTTAGATGAAAGTTCAAGACACCCTAACACCTATAAATTTAATACTCCTAGTGGTTTATTTAAATATTGAAGACTTCTGTTTGGTTTGAGTTCAGCTGCTCGTTTATGTTAAACGAGCAATCGAGACGGTTTTGAAGATGGTGAACGTGCTTACCTTGATGACATTATTATTACGGGACAGAATTAAAAAAAAGAAAATCTATACAATGTACAGGCTGTATTTACAAGCATACAGGACGGGAGTGTGGTTTGAAAAAACTACGAAAAGCAAAGTGTAAATTACTTTTGACTAATGTTCAATATTTAGGCTTTAAAATTTTAGCTGAAGGTATACACCCTACTGAATCGAAAGTAAAGCAATTAAAGAGGCTCCTCCTCCAATTAACATATCGCAGTTAATTTTATTTATCGGTTTGGTGAATTATTATTCTCGCTTTCAATCTAACCTTGTTCATCATATGGCCCCATTGTATGAATTGTTAAAATCTAATAAGATATTTATATGCCAAAAGAAACATAATTCTACATTTCAGAAAGTTCAAGATTTGATTACAAATGATATTGTACTAGTTCATTATGACCCTGAAGCTGATTTGGTATTGTCTTGAGCACCTTCACCTGTTGGTATTGGAGCTGTATTACAGCAGAAACAACATGGTGAACTTAAACCTGTAGCTTTTGCTTCAAGAAATTTAGCGGTCGGTGAGAAAAACTATGAGCAAATTGAACATGGGGCTGAAATGTGGTCGTATATTGTCGTCGCCCCCGTCCGTCCGTCCGTCCGTCGGTCCATCGGTCCGGCGTCCACAATTGCTTGTGGACGCTCTAGAGGCTAAAGTTAATATCCGATTGACTTTAAATGTATACACAGTGTTTAAGGTCATGAGACGAAGAAGCCTATTGATTTTCAGCGTTTTCCGATAAGTACTGCCAGAGTTATGGCCCTTGATTGCTTCAAAAAATCTTGTGGACGCTCTAGAGGTCAGAGTTAATATCCGATTGGCTTTAAATTTATACACAGTGTTTAAGGTCATGAGACGAAGAAGCCTATTGATTTTCAGCGATTTCCGATAATTACTGCCAGAGTTATGGCCCTTGATCACTTTAAAAAATCTTATGGACGCTCTAGAGGTCAAAGTTAATATCCGATTAATTTTAAATTTATACACAGTGTTTAAGGTCATGAGGTGAAGAAGCCTATTGATTTTCAGCGATTTCCGATAATTACTGCCAGAGTTATGGCCCTTGATCACTTTGAAAAATCTTGTGGACGCTCTAGAGGTTAAAGTTAATATCCGATTGAGTTTAAATTTATACACGGTGTTTATGGTCATGAGACGGAGAAGTTTATTTCATTTTCAGAGATTTTTGATAATTACTGCCAGAGTTATGGCCCTTGAACACTTCAAAAAATCTTGTAAATGCTCTCGAGGCTAAAGTTAATATCCGATTGACTTTAAATTGATACAGAGTGTTTGAGGTCATGAGACGAAGAATCATATTGATTTACAACGATTTTCGATAATTACTGCCAAAGTTATGGCCCTTGATCACTTTTAAAAACCTTGTGACCCTCTAGAAGCTAAAGTTATCATCCGATTGACTTCAGATTCATACACAGAGTGTAAGGTCTTGAGACAAACAAGTTTATTGATTTTCAATGAATTTTTATGACTTGAACAGCTAAATCCATGATGTTAAAAGTTTCCTATACTAAACGTTAGCATGGGGCAAAACTTGATAAAAACCAAACAAATTCTATTGGTTTTCTGATAATTACTTAATGAGTTGTTACTCTTAATCAGATTTTAATGTATTATAAATGTTTCATTACCGAAAAAAGTAAAAATATGTGACAACTCTTGTTGACTGCCCGGACGAGTTAGCTGCTGTGGGCGTATGTTTCGTTGCCTGGCAACCTATCTTTACTATAATCAGTTATGTTCGGCGAAATATGCCAGAAGTCTCAATTGAATGGCAATCTCTAGCCTCTGGTTATTCCAGTCTACACTTAGTATGTATTGCGCATGCTCTCCAGATAAGAATATTGCGTTATGTAATAAAGGTGTTCTAATACACTGCTTGGTTTCATTTCCCCAACCAGTCCAACTGATGTATACCCAGACTCCTGGTACATGATATACCATCCGAACGACGTGAGAAAATCGAGATGTTCTTGTTCGGTCAAAGAGCGGGGTCGAACCAATGTGAACACGGGGACCTCGGTATTATAGATCATCCGAGCGACATTGGACAATCAAGCTGCACTTTTTCGGCCAAACAGTTCCCCCTTCCCCAACCCCCGGCCTTGATTTTTTTTCGAGAATTACATGGCCTCTATCGCCATTTTAGCGTATATACATACACACTGACCTTTTTAAAGAGAGAATTCCAACACCCCGTTTGACGTCACTTTTTATTATGAATTAATACTATGACATTGTGATTCAGTTTCATTGTCGCAAAGCATTAATTGTGATATCACATATGCCTACATCATTATCTCGCGCTTTGAATGCCCACCCATCCCACTATCTGATGATAAAGGATAAAGCACAAGAGGACCTTGACACTTTTTTTGTAAAAATGTGTTGTTTCACAAATTTACTATATAGCTGAGCGGGAAGTGAATCCGACTCTGAGAGGGATATTTCATAGGGAGGGGTGACAGATATGTAGGTGTTTTGGAGGGGGTATTCGATGGTGGGGGTGGGGGGCTTTGCTGCATATTTCTTTTTTTTGGAGGGGGGGGGGATTTGTCCAAGAGATATTTGGTCCCATTATTTTATTTTATTACTCACATCATTTGTGTAGTAGTTTTTCAGATTTTCTTTTTATATAGTGTCCCTGGCTGTTTTACGGTATTTTTTCGGGTGTTTACAGTATTTATCGTACTTTTGGAAAGGAAAGATACAATAAATGAACAAAGATTTGTTATTTGAACGAATACATTAATGATAAAAACCAATAACAAAAGCCGTTACAGCAATTAGAATAATTCCATTAATATCTAAGAAAGTTTTCCATTTAGGACTTTCTTTAATAGAAGTCATTTTATTTTGAATAGCTTTAATCTCTTCAGGAGTTCTTCTGATCTGTGAATCATCTGACATACCACAACAAACCATAACACGACGAGTACATTCACCATGCTCTATAGGAGAAATTCATGTAAAATAGAAGACTAATAAACAGCATTAACTAGAAATGAGGAATCTAACCGATTCACATCGTCAACTTTAAAACTATACGACTATTTGTTACTGTGCTATTAAGCGTTCATTTAAAGCCTAGTGCACATTCATTCAAATAAACAGAAAACAAAATCATGTAGCTGCCTTTTCATATCAGTGTTTGTTTACCGTTTATCTTTTATCTGATTAAAAGATAAATTTGAAATAGCGAGTGTAACATGTCACATTCTGAATCGTAACTGATATGGAAGTGACATGGTCTTCCAAGCCCGAAAAACTCTTATTGATAGGCTATGTGACCCGAAAGGCGTTGCCTGTACAACATTAAAGTACTAGGACAGTTTATTAAATACAACGTATGCCGCCATTTTAAAATCATTCGAGCCCACGTGATTTTTCTTTGGTTTTATTTGGTTTACTGAATTTCTGTTTCAACTATAAATATTTCTCAGAAAAATTACTTGTTTTCCGAACCAGCATAAATATTATGAAACAATGCTGTAATCCCCGCTTACTATGCATGGTCATGTAGGGCCTAAAGTAGGCACGAGGGAATTGTACATATAATTATTGGCCGAACGGAATGGACCGTATCACATGATCTACTGTTGTCACATGATCCACACTGCCTCGTCTTGGTTGATTGAATAAACGTGTATTTTGATGAACCGTTGTACTTTGAATAATTATGCTTTTATCAGGTCAGCCATAATCCGTACCTTTTACAGTTTTATCCTGTTGAGAATCATCATCTTCATCACCGGATAAATCTGGCATCTGTTCATCATGTCGTGTCCACCATGTTACACGGTGTAACTGTAATAAATATACAATGATATGTATCAGAGCCTTCAAATAATAGATTTTAATTAATCCAAGAATTAGTAAAAATATATTTACTACACTGATAATACGTATAACGGCAGTGCGTTTAGTTTATCGAAATTAATTGAACGGGGTCCAACGTCTCGTCAACACAATGCGTCGGTTGTTTATGTTTCTATAACCACGTGTGTAATGCTAGGAAGGGTTAATATGCCCGGGCAGCGGTGTTTCAGTCTACCCTTAATCGAGTTCCGCCTGTCAAGGTTTCTTTACGTGCACACCAATGTGTACACGGGTGATGTCGGTTTTTCGCCCAGAACGCCTTGACATCTTAATGAACATTCCATTGATTAACTACCACAGTCCAATTAAAGATACATTATGGGAGATTCGGTAACGAGTTGGCAGTTCTCGCTATAATAGTTAAAAACTAGATAATGTAAAGGCAATTTGGTGAAAATTTCATTCAAATTGATCCACTATGAACCGAGAACTAAGCGACTGAAATTCCCATAAGCCTCGGTAATCATTACTAAAGTCAGACCGATAAACAGCATAGTCTCGATTATCCATTTAATCGTTTAATCGAGAAGGAAAGTTATGCATTAAATCGGCTTATAATCCACTAAAGAGCGCAGGCTAGCGCTGCCACCTAGAGTTAAGTATGGCCTGGATAGGTTAATTAATGTCTAATTAATAATTTAGATAACATTTCAGGCCTAAAGAAAGACCTGCAATAGGCAGATTTAGCTCTTGCATAATGTGTGTTTAATGTTATATTTTACTTTTACAATGACCATTGCTGTCGTTTTTGATACAAAAAGAATAATGCCGTATTTTCATTGCCAGGAGTGACGAATTATTTTCGAGGTAAATCTGGTTCAAAATAAACAGAGAATTGGCTAAAACAGAAGGTGCCATCGACATAAACAAGTTCTCGAAGGGTACGATTTAACTCGTATGTGGAATTAACGTCAGAATTCAATATATTAATTCAACATTCAAATAATGTAATACTTCCATATTAATGTACATGTATATCTAACTACCTTTGAACTGGGACGTGGTACTGTTTTCAAACTTATCGCGATCATACATATTCCTGCAACTGCTGTTTCCATGGCAGCCACATACAAGAAATGAATTTTCAGAAAATAAGGTCTATCGTCGAGTGTTCCACAAGGCGGGGCTGGGTAAGCAAAAGACATAATTAGTCTGGAAAACCCTAAAGCCTGACCTACCAACATCCCATAGAATGCTGCCTGAAACGAAGGATATGATCATACATACATCCGGCAATAATTATGTAGACTTGATTGTTATCAAAAAACAATTAATGATAAAAATTCTAGGATATATTATTGTTGAAGCAAGACAAGCTGAAGAGTATTAAATACTGAACATATTTTACCAATATCATCTTAAAACCAGGAGAATTCCGTACCGAAAGGGATCATTTACGTGCACGACAATTTCTATAGGTCCTCAAACGGGTATGCACACTTTCTTGCTGACGGTTCTATTCGGTCTAACCTATCCGACTGTCACGGGCAACTAAATACTGAATATTCAATTACCAATGCACAAACTATTCAGCATTCATCACTTTACAAATTAGTGTCACAAATTAATTGCCTAATACAGAGCACAACATTAATATACATGTACCTGTTCAGTGGTTCGCTTCCAGAAGAAGCCCATTATGAACACCATTGCCCACGGTGGTCCTACAGCACTCATCATACCTTGCCAATACTGCCATAGTTCATCACCTTGTGCTGCTTGCATTATTGGTATCCATATAATGGACAAACCAACCAATACCAACACTACTAATCTATATAAAACACAACTAATTATTGAAACTTAAAGTAAATATATTTTAAGTTTGGGCTCTGTTATCAGAAATAAGAAATTGTTACATATGAAGAAATAATGCAACATCCATATCCTTCCGAATAATATGGCCTAAAACGTTTACCTTGGACGTTTTACTGGCAGTGTGAAGTTTACTTATTGATTCTTTAATTATGACCAACTGTCGTTCTAAAGCCCTTTAATGTATAATTTAAGATCAATTGTACCTTCCAACGAGAAGTAGTTCCCATTCTCTAGCGTGTTTCCTGAATCTTCTCCATAAATCCATGGTAAATATAGAACTAGCACTATTAAACACAGACGTCAATGTACTCATAACAGCAGCAAACAGAGCAGCCAACATTAATCCACGTAAACCTAAAGAATAAGAATATTATGATATTCTGATCAGCAACAGGAATTTTTTTCGTGTTCACTTTTTCGCCAAGCACCCCAGTTTCTGGCATCTAAATGAAACCCAGCTCAAATTAACTCTACGTCGAGTAATGGGGTCACAAACAAGGAGGGATATACTAAGACAGAGAAATGGGCATAACCTATACTAGAGATTAAGCAGCTAGTTTCGTTGGTGTTTAAAACTGGGAGAAAACTTACAATCAAACTCATGACGTGCCAACGAATGATCCTTGGTGTACATATGCCTTTAAATGTACTGAGTGACTCGTGAAAACCGGATATCAAACTTCATTCTATCATAATGTTAACATATTTAAGAAACGAAACGGTAAATCAAATAATGTAGCTCAGAAAAGTCATGAATATTGTTTATATCATTGTCAGTGGATAACAAAGTGCCGTCGCTTCAGTGAGTATGATTTTCAAGAATCTAAATAGGAAAATACATGGTTTTAGGATTTGATACAATGAAATACGGAAATACTTTGTTACGGGCTTGCGAATGACAGCCCTTATGTATCCGCGTCATCTGGTAAAATTAAATTCTCGTATTAGGATTATGGTTTGAAAATCTGTAGGAACATAACGACAGAATTTTGAATTCGGAAAGGATTGGCTTATTTAAGCTGACGTAAGTCGTCTCACCTGGAGAAAGAATCCTAAGTACGAGCAATGGATAAGCTATATTAGAACAACCTGCTGGATTATCACAAATACATTCACAGATAGCAGGATCAGCACACGCCACTTCATCTAAAACAAAAATAACACCTATTAAAATACAGTACTCTGTCGCCCTTATACTCACCACAGTGTTTAATTTGATTAGATCTAATCCCACTCAAAAGTTAGAGATGGATTTCTCGGGCCATTGCTTCTGGAATATGCGTCGCCCTGCGACCGCCTGAGATGTTGCCCACGCCATCAAACCTGATTTATAACTCACGCTGTATGTTATCATGCAATTAATAACACTAATCTATTTCGAATGACAAGAACATTGTTTCGACAAATTCCATTACCTGGGTATAATATTCTAGCCACCATCCCAGGCACCACAAATAAAAAGAAAGGTAAAATCTTCAAGTAACTAGCAACTATGGATCCACCTTTAGCATGTGATAAGTTTTTGGCTGCTAGAGATCGCTGTACCATTATCTGAAAAAGAAAATTATCGATACCGGTTTTAATACTACTGCTTTGGTTTTCGTTGAATAGATTCCGTTGAACTTGATTACCTCCTTGGTTTTATACCGTTTAGTATTTTTAATTAATTTGAGCTTTTGGAACAATTTGATCTGATAAAGTTTATGTGCCATGCCTTGAAATTGAACTCCAACATCCATTGATGGCAGCAGGGTCGTTTAACGCGGGAACACGATAGGTCCCATACGGCCCATACTAATCTGTAGTTGTCACTTGCTGCTAATACTATACTATGCTAAACTATAAATATCACCAGTAAGCTGATCCCCCTGACTTGTGAACCTGGGCCTTTCAGAATCATATAAGTGGTCATTATTATAAACTAATGTTTAGTATGTATAGAAAGTGGTTAGAAGTTATAACTAGCTGTAAAAGATGTCAATACTGGTGTAAAAGCGTGACTGATTATAACACCCATCACTATTGAATACACAAACCTGGACAATGGTGGTGTATATCATGCAATAATCACGGTTTTAACACCTTAGTGACAAAACACCTACTTTAGGACTACTGCCTGATTACTAACAATTTTAACTGACTAATACACATTATGTATAATGACGACTTTGATCAGTTAGTAGCGTATATTTTCATTGATAAAAGTTATTTGTTGCTAAGTCAACGATATCAACTTTACATAGTATGTGTTATAGTGTTACAGGTTGATATTGGCATTCGCCAGGGTATGTAGATTTGGGCCCCAGTGCATTGCTTTGCATGGCGGCCTTTTTAGCTGTTAAGGCGGCTCTGAATGCCTTTATAAACTTTATCTAATCTAATAACCCCCCCCCCCCCCCTCTCCACATACACCCAAACCTCATTTTGTGTCTACCTGATCAGAACACCAAAACCAGATATCGCTAGGTATGTTAAAAATTAGAGTTCCTGGCCAAGGATAATCTGAGTTCAGTGGCTCACGTAATAAACTAAAGGAATCCGGACGTGGTACACCACAGCTCGAGTTACCATGTCGTGTAGTATTCGGTATCGCTTCCATATATTTAGGTTGAAGATATTCATAACCACCAATTTCTGTTAAACCTATATTATATAGAATAGAAAACACTATAGAGTAAATTGGACATCTTAATCATGACTTATTTATTAGAAAAAAAAGGAGGGGATCACGGGCTAAGTGGGTAAGACGCTGGCTCGATAGCCTGGAGGTCGGGTGTTCGATCCCTGCATTGGCCGAGAAAGTTCATCCAGATTATCCGGCGTGGTCCCCCCTTGTCAGTGATGCAGGACAGAGGGCCTGACAGGGACAGCTGTCTAGTCCTTCGGATGAGACGAAAAACCGAGGTCCCGTGTATACATTGGAATGCACGTAAAAGATCCCTTGGCAGTTTGAATTCGATATAAGAGTAGGCGATAGTGCCGCTGCCCGGGCAAAATTTCCCTCATAGCACACTGTATGGTGTATGCCCGTCTTCATTAGCCCAGCATAGGAGCAGAACAGTAGGACGTTAAACCCAATTTCATTTCAGAAAAAAGGGAATTGAAATTAGGGTATAATCACCGCAGTCCTCCAGTCAGTTTTAGCCTAACGTGTGTTATGTGCGCAATGGTAGGCAGGGGAATTTCTACCACAAAGAAATAATCTTGTTTAAAATTCAACTTCCAATGGATTCTTTAGATGAACCTTTACATGTGGTTTGAGTTTATCATCCACCCAAATTCCAAAGCACACCTTCCCTATCCGTCCACAATGGAAGCTACGTAGCATTTAATTTCATGTTTTATTCCGAATCTTTAAATGTCATGAATCACAATGGTCAGCACCGAATATGGTTGCACCATGACTTACTTTTGAACAAAAGAACCGCGGCGCCAACTGTTAACACAATCGTTTGTAGTGTATCCGTAAACATAACAGCCGTAAGACCTCCTGTGAACAAAAAAAAAACAACAACTGAATTAATTGTAATATTTTCTGGCTGTCAAAATGCAAAGTTTAGGGTGTAAACAAATGAAATAATGTCTACATGCACATTTTAGTGGGATGCCCGACGATACAAAAATATTTCAGTCAATAATTTAATTGCATATTTATTAATATGAAAATGAATTTTGAACTATCAACTAGGACGAGAAAGTACATACCGGTCATTGTAAATGCAGCTGAAAATACCAGAACTAAGATACCAGAAGCATACATACTCCATCCGAATAACATCTGTACAAAAACAGCACCAGCATACATCTCTACCTATACAGATCATGTAATGGATGAACAATGAATACAATTTGTCATAGAAGAGAGATGGTGACTGGTGTGTATACAGAGAGGTACTGATGGTGCACTAATTCATACTAGAAAAACCTGCTGGGTCAAGAAGTGTCGTGCATTCCCTTCCTAGGATATTGGTGAACCTTTGGTTTTCTGGAGTTTGGAAGGGTTTCAAAGAGAATTGGGCTTACCAATACCAACGCTGGTTATGGCTGACTTTAGAGAGTACAGACCCTCCTAGTTCTTGAATGCAGTGACCCTAGAGTACCAGTGTTTTAAAATATGATCATTTATTTGCTACTTACTGATATTTTTGTGATTATATAAAGCACTATAGACAACACGGATAGATAAATACGTAATCTTGTTCCACCATAACGTTTCTGTAAATATTCTGGCATCGTGAACACCTGGAAACAGAAATGAATTCATTTTGTCTTACTAAATATTCCTGAATATAATTATTACTTCTTTTTTTTTTGGGGGGGGGGGGGGTAATTAGAATAGTTACTATGCCTAAGATGGATTTTCAAGAACTACATTAAGTTCATATTCAGTATTGCTACTGTAAAGTAGTAAATAAAACACGCTGAAGATCACTTACTCCTGATGAAGTAAATACTGGTATGAAAACCCATGCTAACATCAATATGAAAGGAATAGCCTGAAAGTAATATATAAGTTTTCAGCAAAGAATGTAAATTTGTATTATCATAATATAGCATACAAAGATGATTTTACCTGTTACTGCTTAATATAGAACACTACACTGAATTCAAATCTTGGACATGTTTTAAAGATGGGTTCCCGCGTACAAACCGGGTGATTTAAAGGTATATATGGACTAAAAACATATTCAAACTAATTAATTTGTCATAATTATGCTTCAAATCCTTCTCAAACATTGTAATTGCGAAGGAATGTCCTGCTATTAAAATTCGATCAAACCAGGCCATGTTTACTCTTGGGAGTCAGAGGAGAATTCATTGCATACATAAGACGATGTTGTCCTTAATCGCTTACTATTTATTACAAATATCGAATCCTAAATAAATTCTCGGATTATCCACTACCCGCGTCTTTTTCCGCCATTTTTATCTCAGAAAGTATTGTAAGTCTAACTCTTCATAAAGTTTATCAACTTGTACATCAAGCGCTCAATGTTCGCTTGTGACCTTTGACATCACGCGTGCAGAAGTTCATAATCGTCGGGCTGTTGATTAGGGGAACCCTTGCATTTTTGTCCTGTATACGCTCCATGAATGTTTTTCGGGGAATCCAGTATTTTTCTAGTAAGATTGGATATCTCTACTTTCCATATATACCAAAATTGCCATACTTTTATTGGAAATACCAACCCGATAAATTCTTTTCTGGGAACCCATCTTTAAACGCTCCAAACTTTATATTTTCTTTACAGTAATCAGAATAACCATATTCTGCAAAAGCAAAACAATTAACGTACATGCCATTCAAATATCATTCCACCAATACCAGACGCTGCAGCTGTACCAGACAGACCAACAAATAATGGTGCTCCGATGTTACTGGCAAATATACTGGCCCCTATCTGAAAAGATAAATAGAGAAATGATTTACGGTTATTTAATATTTGGACGTATAAAGACTTAGAAAAGGAAATTGTGTCTAGTCGTGATGGACATCAAGGTGATCTGTTGCATGATGATAACTCAGCTACAGTATTACGTCATGCGAAGACGTACGGCATATTCTGTATATTTTGCTTAGATGCTTCGGTATAAATAAAAACTATACGTCGCCTGGCGGCTCTGCCGGTTACGCCCACCTATACTAATATTTGTGACCCTCGATTGTCTGTCTGTTCAGGGTGGGCGGTTACACTGGGGCTTGCCGAGGCTGAAATTTGGTGTATAGGGGTAGCTCAGACCGAGGAGCAACATAGTTAAATAGGCCTGGTGGCGCTGGCCTACCACTTCCGGTTACGGAATTACGGGCACAACCCCTGCCTTTTCAACAGCTAGTAATCCATATTTAAGTTCCTTTGTATACTACGATGCATAACACACACGACACTGTAGTTATATGTGTGTACACTCCCATATGTGTTTGGCCTCTACACAGCGCCGGATCTACCATTGTGTTCAGGTGCGCTTAAGCCGGGCCTATCTCATTCAGGGCCCAAGTAAGTGGCTCTATAAATTAAGTAACACAGGGCCTCATTTATCCGAAATCCCGCACTATCTATATCTAAGTTACAAAATTGTATTTGGGGTTTTTAAAATGGGTGTTCAGGCCCTGTGTCGTGCATTAAACACGTTCTGGACATATAGGTTACCAATCTGGCTTTTTTGATGTTGTATTTACTTACCGGGAAAAATGTCATGCTTTTTCCAGCCAGAAAATATCCACTTGCATCATTTTTTCTGCTAGCTCTAAACGTTGCCTACGAATAAAGCAAATTACATGTAATAACTCACAGAAGTCCTAGTAATAACCTTCTGTAGCGTTGGTTTTCCACTAAAATCCGTTGAAACAGAAATTTAAAATTATAAAATGAAATTAGGGTGTATTTTTGATGACAACATTTTTCAGCTTGACGATAACCATAAAGATTGTTTTGAACTATAAACGAAATCCGCTATGATTGCCGGACTATAACAATGTATCAGCCTATAGATAAAGAAGTGGCTAATAAATGCATATACGAGTATTACTATAGTCTTTGTATTCCTTAAATATCTAAGTTTTTTAGTAAAGAAAGGGGGACATTTCATTGAATTTTTCCACCACTGCCGAATGTTTACTGATTTAACCCAGACCGAGCCCCCTTCACGATGGTATTGGAGAAGATTGATGGCAATTTGCCTCTCCGATTTTTTGGCCTAACCGCTGGACATGCATGATGCCCAAGTATAAATTCAAATATCGAGGAATGCACATTGGATTATATTAAGTGCCAACGATTATGTATATTTTCGAAGTGAGAAGTGTTATATAATTACGCCTTACCTTTTCTTTCTAAAGAGTGTTGAACACAATGAAAATGCACAAAATAGAAATTGACAAATGCCTGACAATTTCTAATAAAACTAAGTGAAATAGGCAGTATTGACATGAAATAACCATCCTATAAACAAAATTGTTCCGTTTCCTAATTCGACAACCTCCCAGATCTACACAATTTTGTAAATTGCACATATAAAACATACTTACTAAAATACCAACGATCAAAACCACTACAAAATATGCAACAATAGTTAAAATATCCGCCCAATGGAGGTAGCTTGTCGAGCTGATCTTGGTACAGACTTCACTGTCCGCCATCGTGACTTTGCGTTCAGCCTTCTATGAATTCACAACATCATCTGTTAACGTTATATCTCTATTTAATACACACGACCTAGATCCACCTATTCAACATGTAAAAGTATTTTGCAGCACCTAACCAATATTGTAGTGTTTACAATCTGTCATTTGATAATAGACGCAGTTGGCCTAAATGTCCGTCACTGTAAACATAAAAAAACTGATATAATCCTGCTTCACAAACTGCGTAAAGGGTGAAATGTAGGGGAGAGGTGGCGTCATTAAACAACGAATTAAATTAAGCGCTCTAACTTTCAAAGAATAATTAGATATGCAAACATAAGAAGTAAATAATATACATGTATATCGAGAAAATTTCCGAAAAGCTAGCACCTCTCCCTTTTTAATGAGCAAAAATGTGGTTATAATGCGGTTTAATTTTAGTATTCTAAAATAAGATTTTTAATATGGTTTTCATGATTACTACCATTATTAATAGCACTTGAAAAACTACTAAATTATTGTACCAGCCCTTGCTTTGATTATTATATTACCTATGTTGTGAATTCTACTTTAAGAACTGTTTAAACAACGCTGGCAGTATAATATCACATTGTTTACACTCAAGAATATACTATACAAGTATTTGTCATCCGAGATAAAGATATGACACGCGAGACTATATAGTAAACACAGCAGCATTGTGCACACACACACAGATTAAAACAATAAATGTGTGACCGTGAATTTTATTTGGCATAGCTAAGGCTCCTTGGTTGTTCAAATTTTAAATGGATTCATGGATCAAACATGTATTTTAATATAATAAAATGCTTAATGTGTTAGAGAAGGTAAAATGTGTAATAAACGTTTAAAAATATTTATGATAAATATCACCATTACTCTTTCACTTGTCATTGTGTATTTCGTCTTTATTCATAATAAAAGTTTTAAAAAAATAAATGCTAATTCGTCATAGGGTATTACTTGCGTAAACGGGCGTTCTGTGCTACGACTCGATTACACCTGTTCCCTAATGTCACATTAATTATATATAACAATCATAATAGCTAGTGTCCTACACATAAACATATTACTTATTCATAAACCAAGATTTTATGCATTTTGTCTCTTGACACGTGCCTTTTTGTAAACCATTGTTTTGGCTTTAGCTGTACGGACTACAATCTTTATTTGTGATTTTAATAGTGCGGTGAGGTGGAACGTGGTATCTGTTGTCAGGTAACAACAATATCTTCCCGTTTTGGTTTTTATTAAACGATATTCTACATAAATATCATCTATGAACCCGTATAGCAGCCCACCTGACACGTTATCGATGCGTCAACTGTTTAACATTTGGGACTGTCAGGCAATACTCAAAGTTTTTGTTCGTAGTCCCCGGAGGTTTCCATCTATCCCGATTTAGTGTCCTTTTTTCTTCTTCTTAATTTTCAGATCACTTTGAAATAGTTTGACATACGTGCACTGACTAAATATTTGATTTAAAAATTGATCGGAAAGCCGTTTATCTCCCCTGAGTCAAGGTTTTTCTTGTTATTACAGTTAGGTAGTGGGTGTAAAATACGTGCAGGTAATGCTTGCGGAAGGAAACCATATTGGGACGCCGTTAAAGCTTTGACTGCCAAAGAATTATTTTATATACCGTTTATACAACTTCTTCTCCCATCAACTACCCTCTTAATAAGTTGACTATATTATTATTATGTTCTAGGTATAATTATAACCGATCATGACAGCCAATATTATTGCAAACGAAGTATAGTGTGCTGAAGATTGTCGAAAGAAACCTGCCATGACGATGTCTAAAAATAGAGTGTGCCAAATGACAAAGAAGACCAGGTGTGCTCTACCCAAATTAATTTTATATACACTTAGACCTACTAAATAAAAAGGGACACCCCCAAATCCCTCCCTTTCCTCACACATACACACACGCGACCCCCAATTCGCCTTTGGCATGTATTTCTTCTACTTCATTGACCGCTAGTTGAGGTAACCATAAGTTTAATTGCCGAATCCGAAATAAAGGGAAATGGTACCTTTACACTATTCGGACTAGTACGGCATTTACCGGGTATGCTTCGATCTGGCTTAAGGGAACTTAATATATATATATATATATATATATATATATATATATATATATATATATATACAAGAAGAGAAAAGAATCTTTTACAAAAGGTTTTATTGCAGTGCATAGAATATTTAAACCCGGTTTGCCATAGAAGACACAATCCAATAATCGCCTAAATACATATATAATTTAATTATCAAGAAAAACTATCAAAAATCACAAACATACATCATGAAATAAATTCACAATAAAATGGTTAATATTCGACTCGATTAAGGCAATAAACTCAAATCAGAACGCAAAATGGCTTACCGCGTAGCCTCTTATTAGTCATAAAGACGGCCAATACACCGAGTATCAGCCCTCGACGGTATTCAACAAGTCTGTGTAGTTTATATGGGGCTTAATTCTCGTTTCATCAATAGTTTGCAAAATTAAAACGACGTGTCCCGAGTGACTTGAGAAATAATATGGCCAAAAAGTAGGAGACGTCATTAAATAGATTAAGCAATTGAAAGAAACGTCGTAAAAATAGAATATATCAGACAAACAGACACATAAAGTTCAATTAAACATTATTTATATAAAATATAACTATTGTAAACGGAATAGTTATAGAGGGGATATCAGTTCAGAAAGAGGGAGGGAATGACGATGATCTATAAAAGGAAAAGACGTACTAGAGATGATATAAATGGCTAACTTTTGCAAGACACGTATTATACCGTCTTCCCATTTGCTAAAGTTAAAAATTTGAGCAAATGATATTTTAAATCTTTACAAATAAAACGTTAATTCCATTCAAATATGAACGTCGGGGTTTTAGTAGAAAATACGTCCGCGTTAAAATTAAGCTATATGCTTAGTTGATGGCGCCTTTGAATCCGTTCAGAGTACATGTTTCGTTTCTTTGTAATCAAGTATACAAGATTTAGGTACCGCATACGGTATGGCATGGACTTGAACTTGAGGACATGATAATCGAGTTATATGGGGAGACAAGGTGTGAAGCTTGAAATGGAAGTACATGCAAGCTATTCAAGAAGTACCCCAGATTAACTTCCGGTCAGAAGTGGTCATTGGCGTTGGGGGGAAATTATGAGCCCGAAAAAGATTCGTAAACAAGTAACTGGAGCATCATTGCAATGGGAGAAAGTCGACTATAGAAATTTGGGAGGTAGAGATTTGTATGACACAATAATTATGTGCAGTTTGATTCAAGTCAATAGGTTCTTCAGTAACCGAACATTGTAATTGCTGCACGAGGGAAAAGGGTGTATTCAGTTCACATTATATTTAAGCATTAATTAAAGTGGATGGGTATACATGTATATAAATAAATAAATAAATATATCTTTATAGTTTTTTGGAGCGTGAACACTTAAGTTGGAAAATTGCAATTCCCCAAGGATAAAGATGTATGGGATATAACTTTCAAGCATGTGAGGCAACAATAACTATTCGAACTGCTGTAATGTGATTTTGCGACAGGGATTATACATTCATGTGTGTAATCAAAATGTTCTGTTCTGTTGAACAAATTATTCCCGTAACAGTTCAATTCAAATCCGCGATGGTACTTTTGCCTCAGTCATGGATGAATAATAAAAAAAAGTTAAGCACAAATGCTTCTTATCAGTAATCACAATATATAGCCCAATGAACCAAATCGGGCGACTCCTTTTATTGAGAAATTTATCTTGTTCTCGCAGGCTATATTTGCATAGAGATGGATACTAAAAGAATAACATTATATACAAACATATCACAGTTAATCATACATAAATCAAGTCACTATTTCATATAAATAAATAAAAGTACAGTGATACTTTGTACATACATCTCAACTAGTTTTTCTATGGGGTTTAATAAATCGAAGAAATTTAACTACATTGGTTTAGTTCGCCATGAGTATATGTAGTATAATTATAGGAATACGATAATCGGGATTTACGTCATTTTGTGACTGACTTAATTTGGTATTATTATAGAATTACCTGTTTCCACCCGCTCCTCTTTCATTTCGACTTTCTAAGGGTTCTTATATTGGATTATCATCCTTAATGTATGTTACGACGTGAGAATTTGTTTTACAATTTAAGATCTAAAATTGCCAACAAAATACAGCTGATAATAAATATGTGTATCGGAGACGTAAAGTGGTGGTGGCGGTATTAAGAGCATACTAATCGAAAAATGCAATAAGTTAACAAATTTAATATACAAAAACAAATGAAAAACTGAAAGTCAGTGATGATTGCTGACTTCATGATGGCGACGTAGGTCAACTTTTCTCTGGAATGTTCTGCCGCACTGAGAACAGGAAAATGGTTTGTATCCGGAATGTTTACGACTGTGAGTGATTAAATTTGATGACTGGCTGAAAGCTTTGCCACATATAGTACATTTGTGAGGTTTTTCACCTGAAAAATAAAATAGTCCATAGCTTTACAAATGAATAATATCAATGTTGTTCCTTGCCCTGTAATTGTAACATAACTTTAAAGGGGTGACACGTCGTCGCGCGTCTTTTTGAATATACGATATGTTTGGCGATAAAGAAATCCCGAGTTCACACTTGATACAGTTGACAACAAAACTATTGGGTGGCTTGAAACCCCATGGACTTCAATGCAAGGACGTCATTAATTGGGGTACATAAACATTATCTCCGATTTCAGTTTTTGTTTACCAGTATTTGAAATAGAGATTTATGTAGAAGTGTAAATATAGATACCTACCAGTGTGTACATAGGTATGTTTTTTCATGTCTGATTTTTGATGGAAGCGTTTACCACAATAAGGACAGGGGTAAGGCCGGGTATCACTGTGTATCAGCATGTGTGTCGATAACGTTGATGACCTTTTGAAACATTTTCCACATTCCTTGCAGTGAAAGTCTTTGTCTCCACGCAAACTTAACTCGTCGTCGCCATTCTCTGTTACCCCGTCACTACTCACGTCACAGTTTACAGGATCTGTTACAGGAACTAATCTAGCTGGTTCGGTGGCTAACGGCGAGGGATATCTTCGGGTGAGGTTTTTGTTCTGCTCGAAAGCAAAACACTTTGAACACGGACAAGACACGGAAGTCTGATATGCTGGACTTCTGATATTAGTTTTGTCTATTGGAGAGGTCTCGTTCTGATCTAGAGTCAACCAGGAGAGGAAATCGCCGAGTATTTCACGGATATATGTATTGTTCTTTCCACCAGGAAAAAGTAGAGGCAACTGCATGTTCAGATCTGGAAAACAGAAAAATGATATTCTATATTCTATATATAATTAATCAAATTAATAATGAAAGAAAACCACTAAGAGATAAATTAGAATAATTAAAGAACCCATCTCAAGTAATTTCCAACTAATATTATAATTTCGGAGTTCATGAAAGGCGTATATACCGCAAATCTTGTATTTTATTTATATATTGTTGTATAGTATGGCCACAGATCACTAATTATTTCCCCATTGACTTTAATGTTAATTCTCGTCTCTAACTTTTTCCCAAATTTTCGTTGGGTAGAACGCTTTCTGCCACAGATGGAGCAACATGTGGCAAACTCTTGCCCAAAAGCATGTATGAGGTTCACCATGAAAAACTTGAGATACACAAGCTGGAAGTAGAGACAAGTAAACATGCAATTTCCGGCCCTACATTTCAACGTAACCAACCTCACAACTCTTGTATCCTTCCGCCTCAAAATCATGAATATTCACCAAAACCTGGCAGAAAATGTATTTTCAAACCCTTTTTTTCGATTCTACACCAAAAAGTCAACAAAAATCGCCATGCAAAAGGGGAAAAAGGGAAAGGGAGAGAGAGACTAAAAATAACTTTGGCCCTTGTCGGTGACAGCGTAGATATATTTGGTAATCTGTGTCCGTAGGGTGACGGCGTAGATATATTTGGTGATCTGTGTCCGTATGGATGAAACGGAAGCTGGAAATGCCCACTGTGACCAATCGCAGCTATGACCTTTGACCTCGGGGTCATTTTCGACCCCAGAAGCTTAGCTTTCTGAAATTGAGAACCAAACTACTACCTTATTTAACAATTAGAGGTAGATGGCATGCACAAGGGAAGGAATTTTATGTTTTACGTATACCACCATCCCGAAATGATCTAGTTTTTGCCGAGTGGACGTTAATTCCCATTTCTCTCTCTCTCTCTCTCTCTCTCTCTCTCTTGTTCTTTTTTCCAAGTATTCCAGCCCATTGGTTAAAAAAACAGTTCGATAACTATTGGTTGAGACTATGTTATGGTAACCTACATATTTGATATTTGCTTTTGTAAACTTAAGTTGCATTAAGTTGGCATTTTTTTTCTACCCAGTCGAATAACCTTTGTAGTGCCCCGTAGTAATTATGTAATGTAATCGATACATAAACTACAAAAGGGAATGAATAGAACATAAATATTAATTAGCCTACAATTTCTTTTAAAACGATAAAACAAAAGGTCCTTTCATCGTGAGAGCTCAAAAACGTTGTTGTGACATATCCAGCACGGTTATGGTTCATTGCGATTTATTTTAATTCTTGAATTCTAAAGAAGGGATTAATAATTTAGGTCCTTTTCTTTCAAATGTCCGTTAAAAAAATCACAATCGCGAATTCGCTTTCCCTATAGATTTTGTCAACAGTAATCCTAGCAGTGCAAACAGGTTATCAAGGGAGCCGTTGGACATGGATGGTTAAGACTGTGATCCCCGGCTTGCCACATCATTTGTTAAGGGTATATTTAGATAAAAGAAGTACACAAATATAGTTTCAGAAGTTGTCAGCAATTCTTGAATTTGTTTAATAGAAACTCAGCGCTATTGTCATTGTTAATTCATAATTACGAATATACAAACATCCTCTAATGATCGGGTAAATTTTAAGAATTACATTATGCGTTGATGAAAGTGTTTCAATTCGTGTTCTTATTTTCTTTTAAACACGAGGCAATATAGTTTGATTAGTAAAATGTGTCCACAATTTATGGAATTGTTTCTCTCGATTTAAAAAAAAAGCAAGAACAAAAATGAATGCAAAAAATGTCACTTTGAATTACTTGAACTAGTTTTCGATTATATACATATAAATAGTTCCCTGGAAAACAATGACGGAGAATTGGTCTTTATTGCGATTTTCAACTTGACGGCGTTTAATCAAGGCAAAAAACACAAATCAGTCGTTTTTTGTTGTTGGTAGAGTGTCTGAAGACCGTAAATACAGACAAGTCGAATGAATAATGTAGAATTTAATTCCTCCAACTAAAACTTTAATCAGTGGTGGGGAATCGTTGAATAGCGTAGTGATATCAATCTCAACAGATTGTTGTCGACAATTATCAACGGGCACAGTTAATTAGTCCGGCATTTCAGGAGTCCTCTCAAATAAGCTTGTTTAATGCAATCAGTTGGGACCATGTTTAAAATTTAACGAGTTTTATATCTGTTTCACCGACGTTGATTTAAAATGCAAAAACTCATTATTAGTGATGTATACCCTAAAGGCAGATTTACACTGGCGTTTAATTCAACAAGTCCTAAGACGCTTATCTCCCTTGGGTTGGCTATAAATATTTAACTAGAGCAACTAGTGATGCGAAAGAGAACCGCAAAACCAATGGATAAATCAGTTAAACGGTTTATTGACTTAACACCTTCTTTCTTAGACAGAAATCACATTCCAAAAAACAGCCCCAGTTTCGTACCTTCCAAGGTATTATTATTACACGATTTGAGCGCTATCTCACACGCTGCTAGACATGTTAAGATAGAAAAGACCGTTTAGTCGGGATTTGATCTAATAGTGAATCATCTTAGAATAAAAATAAAGAGACTTGTATATTGTCTACTAGTAACTATCAGATAACATGGTGTTAATAAAAATAGATAAAAGCTACAATTATATATTATTTAAAGGAGAAAAAGGGTAATTTTCTCAGAACGTAAAAGGTATTAAGTAAAAGTTTGATTTTGTCTGGAAATTTAAGGGTGACTTAAAGGGTATGGCCAGATATCACAGTTGTTTTTAACAGCCATTTACCATGAGATACATAATGTTGCTAACTATAAAATGTCTTGCATTTGAAGAGGTTTTTTTAATCCTCATTCCTATCAACGCCCATTTTCTTTAGCGATTTGCCAATTTACGTCTGTAACGTAACTAAGTATATGTTGTGGGTAAAAGAGAGAGAGAGAGAGAGAGGGAGAGAGAGAGAGGGTAGAGAGAGAGAGGGAGAGAGAGAGAGAGAGATGGGGTTTAATGTCCGCTCGACACAAACTAGGTCATTTCAGGACTAACACATTTCAATAATTCGCTTGCGTGTAGGGGTCTTTAGCAGTGGGAGGAAACCGGAGGACCCGGAGGAAACTCAGTAGGTTGGATAGGCGACCCTACTCCTTGTCCCGTACAATCAGGGAAACGAAACCCAGCCAGTTGACTCAATTACAGACCTTACGATACAGCGCGCACGTGCTAACCATTCAGTAATGTTCTCTAATTTTCTTTTATGGTGAATACAATCTTGATGTTTTGATTCAAGGTTTTTCTCGTTCCACATCAATGGAATGCCTATAATCAACAACCTAAAAGTGGGCTTTACTTAAACGTATATAGTGTAAAAACAGCATTTTAACAAACAAATGTATTATGTAAAACCAGCATTTTAACAAATATACTGCAAAACAGAGTTTTAAAAAACAAATACATTGTGTAAAAGCAACAGCTTGTCAAACAAATGACTGTGTTGTCTCGTCTAATGTATTCTTTACATTCATTTTTATTCACTTTAATTCTGTGCATGCTAATTTCTATATAAACTCTGGTTAATTTTGACACATTTGCTGTCTCTTTTGACTATCGTCCTTAGCCCGATTGGTGCAGAAAAACAGGAAGTTAACACCCCATTCATTCATTATATGTTTTGTATATCGTCTAATTATGATCCATAGTGAATTAAAATTCAGTCAGGCAAACAGAAAAAAACCCTCCTCAAATGATGAAGTTCATGCTTGCTGACTGCGAAACTGTGAGTTAAAATCAGCGTGAAATCTGAAATATCTTTTCATATATTTTTCATTCTGTGGAATTCCCAATCCTGACTAATATGTCTATTTCAAACAAATATGTATTATTTTTGATCAAAGAAAATGTTAAGAAAATATATATTAGAGTGAATATTAGATTGTCTACGACTTAAACAAAAGGGAAAAACGAAACGCTGAACATGAAAAAAGCAAACAGGAAAGCTAGAAAATTCCCTCGGGGCTGTTGGCAAAGATGTATTTTTGCATCCTAAAAGAAAGAACCATCAGATGAAACAATTAGGTATTGTTACGTGACGATAGAACAATGGGCAGGAAACAACCAATGATAAACAGACGATATACGATGAAATTATTCAAATTCCCTCGACTACACTATAATGTTTGGTTCACAGAGCAGAAGATGGAACCGAATCTGGGGAATATCCCGATCTAGTTGATAACACCACAGAGAGACAGATGCCCGTTTTATAGAAGTTTGGTCTTTATTTGATACAGTCAGTTGATATCCCGACTTGCACGCGTGACAAACTTGCTAAGAAAATGTCCATTAACTATAAATAAGCTTCATTGATAAAACAGTATTGCGATTTCTTTCCGAATCCGAGAAATCTGACCACTGGGACTCTATGATATGATTTACTCGATTCTTCAGAAACATTAGCTAAAACTAGTAGCATAACGGCTTCGTTCTCACCTCAATGTCTGACACCTTGATTCTACGTATGATTTTTGTTACTTCTACGATGGTGAAAGATCAAATAGTTTACTTTCATTATAAAAAGAAAGTAAACGTTTTGTCACACAATTTTGAATAAAAGTGTTTGTATCCTGGCAGTATCTACATAACAACAATATAGCCAGGACACCATGGGTTACAAATCGTAAAACTGATTTTATCCCACTATTACAAATCATACGATCTTTATTTATCAAAAATTGTATTTTATTTTAAATTCTATTTACCCTTTAAAGTTATAAAATTCCCTTAAAGTCAGACAAGATTACTATAATTTTGTCGAAGCGGAAATTTTTATCTGGTATTTTTAATAAAAGTATTCTATGGAGGTTAATTTAAACACAAAATTTCCTAATTAAGATTAGTTTATAAAGTAGAAGTTTTCCAGTACAAGCAATTAAAACTCACTGTGCTATAAACTATAAGCAAAGGCTAAAGCAGCCACAAAATTCGGAATCCAATTTCGAAAGTTTCTAGATGGTCTGGAGTACAAGTTTTCGAGTAAATTGTCTCAATGGCATTTAATAATTGAACTGGAATAAACAGGTCACCATTCTATGGAATACAATTACTGCTTATTACTGAGCGACGTTTCGACTAGGCTTGATAATGACTAGAGAAGCCTAGTCGAAATGTCGCTCAGTAATAAGCAGCAGCAATTGTATTCCATAGAATTGTAATCGAATTCTGTTCTTAGTTTCCCGAACAATGTAGTGGCTAGTGTGTTTTCGGTTACCGACACCAATCGTCTGTAAAATGTACGAAGTGTTTGATTTCCCTGGTAAGAAAAGTGTGATCTGAAATCTGTATACTATTCAGAAATATCTTTAGGTTATTTCAAACAGTTATAGTGGAAAAGAAAACTGCAAATATTTGCATAAAATGATTTTGAAAGTAGAAACCACATCGTGAAAATTAGAAGCCAGGGAAATCTGTAATTTAGAATTACAAGGGTCCCCCTAGAACTGAATTATCACCAATCTTCATTCACTTGAATTACACACCATTTTGTTCACTCAATCGAAATCTGCGTCAAATGAAGCGAGTTCAAATTTTCCTCTTAAATAACTTTTAAGAAAGACGTTTGCGGTGGAAACCTTATTCAGACTCTCGAGACTTTTGTTTTAAATATGCAATCAGTTTGTTTTTGAAGTTTCTGATCGCCGAAAAGATAGTATATCGCTTTAGAATGTACATCTATAATGAATGGAAACTATCAAAGACAAAGATTCCAGGTAGTAAAACATATCTGAGAACTACTGCGGTAGTCGACCGTTAATAAAATCCCGGGGTGGGCCGAGAATAATCACGTTGGTTTTCAAGATTGATTCCCATTTGTCAGGGTGTAGCGCATGTGGGGCTGAGATGAGAAGTAAAACTGCGACGAGGTCTGTGTATACGTTGGCTTACAAGTAAACGGGCCCGTAACAATATGAATTCGGTGAAAACACCGCTATCCTCGTTAGCATTGCGTAACCATAAAAACCAAAGAATCGTAAATGCTCGACGTATTGAGTTCTGACTCTGGTTCTTTAATTAGGGGCTACAATTCTGTGTTTCGCAAAGGAAGATCAGATACATTTGTAGTGAAATAAACATTTCAAATTTTGCGCTTTTATTATTATACATTTTCGGGTAGATAACCCTTACTTTCAGCCTATTGTGATCTTCTGTAAATGTTACTATTTTAACATTAAAACATTTTATGTCCAATCTTGTTTATCAGATATTTATTTTTAATTTTCTTAGAACTGACTGTTGCTATTTCAATAACGTTGGACTTTGGCTATAATTAGAACAGCCTCATGGTTTATTAAAGAATGTTTGCAAAGAATATGAATAAATACCTGCTAATGAGGTAACCTTGTCGCCACCCATGGCATAAAATTGTGATACCAAATCATTTGTAGCTGGTTTAAACGGAATTGGTGTAATGGTAGGAGATCGTGTGTCTGAAAAGAAAAAAAATTGAAAAAATTTAATAGTTTTGATAATAAATAATAATTTAAAAGTAAACGTCCTATTTTATTTTTCAATTAATAAGGATACTTTTATGACAGTTTGTGTTATAGATACTTTTTGATTAAACTGTTTTCGTCAAGATTTAGCGGGTGATTTAAAGTATCTTAGTATCCGTTCGCCTCAACAAAACAAGGAATATGCGGAACTTCCATGTAAGTTTGAGAAACATATATATTATAACACTGTACAATACTATCTGCATGGACCCATATAATTTATGTGACTTAATATGCAAATATTCAGGGCATATAATATGCCATGCCATTTTGTAATTTATATCTCGCAATTTCATGATTTGTTTTAATAATATGAATTCACCAATGTCTCAATTAAATATTTTTGCTTTTGCAACACAACGGTTACATCACAATGCATAATATGTAAATTAGAATGTATGCAATATAATGAAATAATATCATACGGCAAATGAATTATAATGCCATCGATAATAGTTAGGTTATGAGAGAGAACAATATACTTATCATTTACATGAAGAGATCGCATGAATTTATATATGAAGTGTAATTCATATAAATAATGCATGTCAATAGTTACCAAATTATCTATTTAGTAAAATTACATTATTTTAAAATAAACTGCGCATAAATTTTACATTTGATATATTTAGTGGTCAGGTGTGTAAGGAGAGAGAGAGAGAGAGAGAGAGAGAGAGAGAGAGAGAGAGAGAGAGAGAGAGAGAGAGAGATGGAGTTTAACATCCACTCGACACAAACTAGGTCATTTCGGGACTAACATATGGTTCAATTTTATTTCCATAATTCACTTGCGCGTAGGGGTCTTTAGCAGTGGGAGGAAACCGGAGGACCCGGAGAAAACCCACGAGGATGGACAGGCGACCCTACTCCTTTTCATTTACAACCGGGGAATCGAAACCCCGCCAGTTGACTTAATGACAGACTTTATGATACAGCGCGCATGTGCTAACCATTCAGTCTTCCACCCACCCCCCACCCCGGTGTGTGTAGGGAAATGGTTCAAATCCCGGTGTAGTTCAAGAGGAGCCTGAAGATTTTCCAAACCCGACTTAACTTGTAATGGGTAACGGTCATGGAAAAGGGCTTTGGTCGTTTGGGTTTGACTAACAACAGAGCTTTTAGACACAGAATTTGAAAACTAGCATTTAATGATGCATATGCCCAAATCGAAATCGATATCGTTGTCTTCTTACAATATGGAAGACAAAAAAGTTGATATTCCTGTTTATTGTTTATATGGTTAGAAGGCTTTAGCAACAAAAATATACGAGAGAATAAACTTAGATTTGAATTGATTGACTAACAGCACAACTTAAGGATAATCGCGAAGATGTCAATGGTTAGTAGACGTTATCAACTATCAGCAGGACGTTAAACCCCATTTCATTTCATTTCATTTCTCTATCAACAAAAGAATATAAGAGAATAGAATTAGATAGAATTTGAATTTGTTGACTAACACAGCATAAAGATAATGGCGAAGATGTATATAGTTATTAGGCTTTATCAAGAATAAACTTAGATGGAATATGAATTTATTGACTAACACACCATATAGCTTATCGCAAAGATGTAAATATTCAAGTGGCTTTATCAACACAAATATTACGAGAGAAAAAAATCCTATTAATTTGGGTCATTTGTGTCACCAAACAATAATGACAATTAATAAGTCTTTCATGTATGCATATTAACAATAACATACAGACATGAACCATTATATAAATATTTTAATTGAGCGAGACATCAGTTTATCTTGGCAAAACAGCTGTTGATAGCATGTATGCCACGAATATGAATTCGAAAACAACAAAAAATCTTTGAAGCTAAACATAACAGTATGCTAGACCAGACAATCATTTTATTTGAAGCTTCAGTAATCGAGTTATATATTTCAAATCGGAAACGAGATTTAATCGATTGTGATTTCCCCTTTGTTTAATTGTTGAATTTTGTTTGGAAATTCATAAATTTGCTTATCTTTATTATTTTATTATTTGCTATAGAATTAAAAGGGTAAAGATAATATTTTATAATTGAGTGTATAACGACTCATGAACAACTGACAAACCAGAATACCGTCTACCGTAAACAATGCTTTCAATTAAAGGGCACCACCACCAATGGAGTTAGATTTGTTTGGTTTTTTTTTTTAATTTTTAAAACAGAAGCTATAGATCCACGAAAAGATAGGTCGTTTTAATTTATAATTAATTAATTTCCCAAAAATTGTAATGTTAAGCTCGAATTAGTCTCGGTCATTTTATTATGAAAATTATAGCGATTCTCGACCACTATAATAGCTCGTTCGACCACTATAATAGCTCGTCCTACGGTATCATATTTCCCAAGCATTCTTGAATTTTGGTTTTAACATTCTAGAATTTACTTTTGGATTGAACATTCTAGAATTTTCCGTTTGAACATTTTAAAATTTTCGGTTTGAACCTTTTAGAATTTTGATTTAGCAATCTAGATTTTGATTTAAAATTCTAAAATTTTGATTTAAAATTCTAAAATTTTGATTTAGCAATCTAGAATTTTGATTTAGCAATCTAGAATTTTGATTTAACATTCTAGAATTTTAAAATTCTAGATTATTTTTAACATTAGTTTTAACATTCTACTCCTTTGGTTTTAAAATTCTAACATTTATGTTTTGAAATACGTGTTTCAATTTTATTGGTACTGAAATTCTTTCTTGATTATCTGGTAGTGGTGCGTTTTAATGTTTATATCTAATTGACCAATTAATGTTTATTTCCAGGCGCCTGGTTAATGGACCATCCAAAATTTGACAAAAGTTTGTGTTCTCCATTATTGCTTAAGAAATGGCAACTACATAACCTTTTTTGCCTTTAAATCTTATATTGTGCGTGTCTTTTTCAGAAACACACATAACTAATACGTGCATATCTAATTACGAGTAAGTTGAAATGTCAGTCAACATTTGAAAACATATTTAGAATGTTATATAAGTACGGAATACTTCAGAAAGTAAAATGTTCATTTTACATTAAAATGAAAATAGGCTTATACCACTCGGAATAGCTTTCCGTCATTAATAAACTTTTAATGATACTAATTGCTAGTATGTATTAAGTGTTCGGATACAGTAAGTTGTTAATGACCGCAGAATATTATGTTTTTATATGCAAAGATAATACATGCTTTGAGTTATATGGATTGATAATAATACTACTACTTTAATGCACACATTCGAGAACCACGCAACTTAACAATTTTTTTATGCTTCGATAATAACAAAATAGTATGAACCATAAAATACACCTCATATACATTTATGATTTAAAACTTAATAAATATAGTTATCTATAACAAGAATAAAAAAGAAAAAAATCGCCGCAGCTAGTTTTTTTTTATATGGGAAATAAATAAAATTTAAGATATTAAGATACCTATGTATTTTAAGTCAGTGATTTGTTATATATGTGTGATGTATTCCGGCAGGTTTAAAGAAACAATTTTGTCCATGGAACTTTAGTGCAGCTAGCTCAAATCATTAATTGCATTATTGTTATCTCTGTGATCTACATGTATGTAAAAGTAGCAATATCTATAACTCACAATGGTGGAATTGTGGCGCATTGTCAGTATAAGATAAATATAAATTGAATTTTACATAATAATAACATCACTGTAGGGAATATTATAAAGAACACTGTTTAAATGTAGGAAATGATAAATCAGAATCTGGAAAAATTGTCAAAATTGGTTGGATTTTTTTTTTTTTTTTTTTTTTTAAAAAGGAAGTGTCTGCAAAGTTTTGTGGTTTCAGCTAACATTTCTTGTTAGTTTTTACTATCAGTCTTTTCTTTTCGTTAAATTACATCGTAAAGTTATGTTGGGTTATTTTTCTTAGAATAGGTAGTTGTTACGCCTCTTCTCTATTTATTTGTGATTTATTTTTGGGTATTGTATATTAGACATTTAAAGTTAGGTTATTCTCATGATATTCGCTCTTTAAGTTCATTAATAGAGTGATAACCACATTAACAAAAGTCAATAGTCACGACTGCAGACTTAGATAACTTTTTTTATCCTCTACTCTCAATTTAGTGGGATGCTGGTGTGATACCGATACTGATCAGTCTAGTTAAAATGGACACAATGCAATGGAAACCTTGACGGGAGAACTGACTGCAAAACGTTATAAAAAATAAAAAAAAAATAAAAAAAACATATCGTGTTATTGTAATATCGGGGCCGCATCGTTTTAGACGACTAGCTGGATTCATTGAAAAAATAATCTTAACTTTCTGCGATGTCAATATAATTCAGACAATTCTTTTGAGTATTACTTCCCAAAGTAGATAATACTTCTTCAATATACCAGCACGAGATATATATTTTGACAGATACAATCAGTTTACCTTTGTATTTATTTGGAGAGAATTTTTTTATTTAAACTCATGTTGTTTTTTTTAGATTTTTTTTTATATTATTATCAAAATTTTAAAATCTTACCCTGATTATGATGTAGAACATCTTTACCATCTGTTGGTTCATTTTTACTGTATAAAAAATTAGACCTCCTTCCTCTAGACTTCTGGATCATAAAAGATTTCGGCATTCTGTAGATTTAGTTTTAAACAACTCTAAATATTTTATAAACAAAAACAAAATAATTCCTTTATTTTGTTTCTTCAAAAGTTCAATAAAGTACCCCAGGGATACACACTTTTAAAATTTGTTGAAATCTTTCGAGTTCCTGGTCACAAAAACTTCTTCTCTTCTGGTGAAACATAAACTTCTTGGTGAAGTCAATGGAATAAGTCGTTTGACACAATGAAACACGTCTTAACGTTAAAAGCCTCGGATAACTGTCTCCCATCAGCCATGAATTCAACCGTAAATCGCGCGTATTCACCAAACGCCGCTTATTTCATTCATTGAATATCGAAAAGTTAAACT